TGGTGTTTATTCACGTAATGACGATAATATGTTTATTTCGCGCAACCTGGAGTATATTCATGTTATTGTAAAATACAATTTCAAAATTTTGAACCATAACAAAATGTTAATTATTACCTCGAGGGGGATGAGGTCAGCATTCTTGAGGTTGAGCAGAACGGAATGCGCATAGCAATCCTTCTCCCCCGTGGTCTCGTTCAGAACCCGGCACTGGCCGTTGGGGAGGAGGATCTTGGAGATCCGCCAGATGGTGGCGTCGTACATGAGCACGTGGTCGCAGTTTGGGAGCACGATGGCGTGCATCGCGCACACTCCCGAGTTGTCGGTGAACAGCTCGAACTTACCCAGGAAGTCGTCCACCGGCGAGGAGATCACGGGGGCGGCGGCGGGGCCGCCGACGAACTCGTGGAGGTCGGCGGCCTGGAACTGTGGGGTCCCAATGTCGTTGGGGAGCTTGTCGCCCTTGAAGTCGTCCGGGTTGCCGAACGGGTTCCCGAACTTCTCGTGTGGGCCCAACACTTTGTCCTTGTTCAGCGCTTTGTACAGGTTGGCCGGGTCGAGCCCGTCCGGGCCGGGCGCGGTCGGGCCGGGCGTGTCTTGGGCGGACACCACCGCGACGGAAAGGAGGAGGAGGAGGAGGCGTGGTGGGAAGAGTGGCTTCATTATTATTACTGCTAGATATTTATTTGTTAGTGATTGATGATTTACTGTGTTTCCTTTTTCACTGTTTTTTCTCTCCCCCTTATATAAGGCTTTTACCACCCAGCGGGTAATTTCCTCCTAAAGATAGATTGACTATTTTTGTTTTCATTTTTTTCCTTGGTATTTTAGCTATTTTTTTTAGGAAAATAGCGGTTTTAGATCCGATTAATTTAATTTTTGTTGACAATTATTTGCTAATTAACAGGATATGTAAATTGCCCATTTTTACTGCCTGCCAACGGTCACTAGCTATAACAACGTTGTCGAAGTTCCCAACGACGGCGCGGTTAGGGTTTGAGTGTTAGTTCTTCCCACCAAAATAAGACAAGTGGCTATGTCCAGTAAAAGCTAACTAACACTAAACAAAATGACATTGTTCTTGTCCAGTTCCTTCATTGCTTTTGACTCAGAACGACAATGTCCCTAGAGCTCTTCTAGTGCTAGTAGTGACTTGATCCTCCACGACTGCAATTTCATCCTTGAATACATTTTGATACCCTCGTGAAACACTGGATGTATTCAAGGATGGATAGAAGGAATTGAAGTCGATACATGTTGAATCCTTTGGTGAACATGTCTGCTATCTGGTTTTCTGTTTCCAAATTACTCAGACTGATAAGATTCGACTGGAGGAATTGTCGAACCACATGACAATCGATCTTTATGTGTTTTGTTATCTCGTGAAACACTGGATATTCTGCATTTTATGCCACAGAATGAATCAGGTAAAGAAGAATCTGGTGAAAATTGGCCAGGTTCTGAAACTGGAGAACTTGGAACAAGTTCAGGTGGAATGGAGGTAATGTAGGAAATGGTGGAGGAATAGGATTGGTTGCAGGAAGAATGTCAGAAGAAGGAATGAAGCAGGTATGATGTGTTCACAGAATATCACATCTCGAGAAAAGAACACCTTATGATCATCCAAGTCAAGTAACTTGCAACCTTTGATGCCTGGAGGAAAGCCAAAGAAGATGAATTTGCGTGCTCTAGGAAAGAACTTGATTCTGTTATGTCCAAGGGTACTAGCATAGCATAAACATCCAAAGACACGTAAATGGGATAGATTAGGGGTTTTGCCATACAAGACTTTATAGGGAGTTTTATTTTTCAGGGTTGTGGTATGTAATATGTTAATCAGGTAAATAGAATGAAAAATGAAATCAAATCAGAATTTGAGAGGGAGTCCATATTGAAATTTTAAAGCTCGAGCCACATGTAGAATATAATGATGTTTTCTTTCTACACAAGCATTATGTTGTGGTGTTCAACACACGACATTTGATGAATAATGCCATGTTGAGAAAAGAAATCTGGTGTATGAAATTTTGATTCTTGATCAGACTTGATTGTCTTGATAGATTTTTTGTATTGGTTTTTAATCATGACAAAGAAATCCTGTAGGGGTCGTTTGGATAAGGGATTGTAACGAGAGATTTGTGAGGGATTTTAAAACAATCCCTCATTCTGCAGGATTTTAAAACAATCACTCGTTTGGTAAAGATGAGAGTTTTTACAATTAGGAATTTTAAAAACTCTCAAATGTGGGTTTCTGAAATAGCTGATGGGGATCAGCTATTCCTAAATTCCTCGTTCTTGTTTAATTTTTTCCAAAAGCTACCCTCCCCCATTACTTCATTTCTTCGTTAACCTTCTACCTTCTTCTCCAATCACTGCACTGCCTCCAATGTGCCGCCAGTCCTGAACACAACCGTCGATGTGGCTTCTCTGGAGAAGCTTCCAGGTTTTCCCGGAGACGAAGAAGGGAGAGGAGGAAGGAGAGAAAGTCACCGAGGATGAAGATTCGAGCGGGACAGTCGTCGAGAGGAAGATTGGATCTCTGTGATCAAATTCACTCCTTCCCGTCGATGTATTGGGCTAGTTCTCCACCAGAAGCAAGTCGTCGTCTTCTTCTCCCTCTCCTCCGATTGACGACGATTCCTGGTCGAAGGCCGTCGATTGAGACGTTTCTTTGGCGATGGATGATGCTTCTGGGCTTGTTGAAGTATGGCACATCATCTTCCTCTCCTCCCGATTGTCGGCGATTTCCACGCGAAGGCCATCGATTGAGATGTTTCTGGGCTAGGCAACTGACGACGCTTCTGGTCTTGATGAAGCAAGCTGCCACCATTGTTTTCTTCTCCCTCTCTACTCGACGTGAAGAGGAATCCTTGAATCAAGTCGCCGTCGTCGTTTGTGAATAGCTAAAGGGTAGACAGAAACATACAACGTAGAAGGAGATGTCGAGATAGGTATGGTCTTAGGAGTTTGGGTAAACGGGGCACATCAGAATGAATGTTAGATTTGGAGGCAACGACGGCGAGATGTTCTGGGTTAACAGATGAGAGCAAGGGGGAAGGAGATAGGTTAAAGATAAGGGTAATATTGTAATTTGATTTTTCTTATTAAAATCCTTTGTTTATATCCAAACAAGTGATTTATTAAAATTCCTCATATTAAAAACCTAGGTTTTTAAACTGTGGGATTGTGGACAAAAACCTGGGTTTTAGAAAACCCTTATCCAAACGACCCCGTAGGAGTTTTCTAGTTCACTTTTGAATTTCATCAAATAGGCCCAAACACATATGGACTTGTCATCAACAATAGTAAGAAAATACTAAAAACTATTGTAATTTGAGGTAGCTAAAGGACCCTATATGTCAACATGGACAATATCAAAGACATCAGTAGCAACAAACTGACTAGAAAGAAAGGGAAGATGGTTTTGTTTGGCTAGATTACATATTTCACAATGATATATAAGATCTGAATCTATGCTAGGTACAACTTTTTGTATTTCCTTTGTTTTGTGACGTGAAGGATGTCCAAGTATCCAGTGCCAAAGATCAAAGGTATGAGGTGTGTAGTTATAATTCTTGAGGGAATTGACATGTATAGAAGGATCTTCTGTGGGTTTGGTGTAAGTTGATAAAGTCCTCTAGTCTATTGGGAAAAACCAATCTTCCTCATGGTGAGTAGGTCATGGATATGACAAATATTTGATTGGAATGTGAGTGAAACAGGTAAAGACTTAGTGAGTTTACTAACTGACACCGAGTTAAAGGAGAAGGCTCGAACTAACAACACTTCTTGAATTTCAAAACTAGAAACCAAAGAAACATATCCAGAATGAGTGGCATGGGTTTTGGAACCATTTGGGGAAGTGATGTAAGTGATTTGAATGAGTTTATAACTAGTAAAACAAAATAGAGAGCATGCAACATGGTCTATAACACCAGCGTCCAGATACCAAACACTGACAAACTCATTCATTGGTTGCATAGTCAAGTATGTTGATAAGGTATATTTACCTGCAAAGTTTGGATTCACTAACATATATCTCACCACTGAATTGACCACTAGATGATTCTGTGAGGAAAATGGTGGATTCATGTTCTATCCAGGTGACACCGGTGAAGTGGGTGACTGTGGTGGACTGATTTGGCACAGTAGTTTTTCAAGTCTACCCATATCATTCATAGACAGCATTATGTTAGTGAATCCATCTCCATTGTTCTCGGACAAATGCTTAGAATTAGGTCGTGGTAGAATACCATCACCCATATATGTTCCTTGGATTTGACCAACAAAGCTAGAAGAGGGTTCTGACTCTTTGTTCTTCCTCTTCAGCTTAAAACAATCTGCTATAACATGATTTTTCTTCTTGCAATATCTGCAGAAAATGTTACCCTTTGGTACCTCTTTACATGTGCCCTGACCAGTTGCAAGTAATGCTACAGAATCCACTACTTGTGCTTCTTGGTTAGGTTTGATCAGTTGCCTTTCATGTTGGACAACATAGTGAAAAGCAATCTCCATTGATGGTAAGGGATTCACCATGAACAAGTAATAAACCTAGTTATAAATTCATAAGCATCATTCAAACCAGTAATAAACCTAATTACAAATTCATTTTCTCTATACTTCCTAACAGTAACTTCAGTTATACAAGCATCATGTCTACCTCCTAAACCACCACGTGTACTACTCAAAATAGGCAAGAATTGAACCAATTATTCCCAACATGCTTTCAATTAAGTATAGTATTGATTGGCTGACTTGTTACCTTGCTTAAGAGTATAGACTACAGTCTAAAGATCACTAACTCAAATATTGTCAACCGGCCCAAATCTCTGGCCTAGATCTTTTCTAGAGTAGTCGTGCATTGTCTTTGGAAGAAACGCTATCCACCAAGTTTGGGTCAAGAGATCCAAGAATCATGAAGCAAACAACAGTATTGCTATGTTACTAAGTTGGGTAGTGGTCAGTGGTCAGTGCTCACTGGTTAGATCTGGAGCTGGTAGAGAGGAACTTACCCTCTTATCGAATAAACATGCATCGTGCAAACAAAATATAGTGAGGTGAAAATTTGATCGGAATCGATTTATTACAAATTCATGTCACGTACAACTTTGATCATACTCACATCTGAGGAGTAAAGCTCAGCAAGCCATTAACAAAAACAAAATAAACAAAATAAACAAATTGAATAATAATTAAAACGAATACGACGTCGAATCAATTCTTGAGCTGAACCCAAACCGCCGCGCTGGGGAGGCGCAGTTTGTAATAAACCACGCTCAACAAGAAGTACCCCTCCGGCGCCACCGCGGTGCTCGGCGGCGCGTTGCACGTCACGTCGTACCTCCCTTCCCCGACCTTGACGGAGTCCTTCACAAACAGCTTGATCAGCCTCTGGTTCATCGCCACGCCGTGGGTCGTGAACGCCGGGACGTACATGGTCACCTGGAAGTTCTTCGTCGACACCTTGTTCTCGTTGAGCTCGACCTTCACGGTGAACTCCTGGCCGTACTTCAGCTCCTTGGGGCACCCGCCGTCGACGATCTTGGGCTTCTTGTCGGCCCGCGACGGGTCGAAGTAGGGCGGGGAGAACTTCTCGACGCGGAGCTCCGTGGGGAACATGGCGTCGTAGATGTACCCGTTGTTGGTGTTGCTGCCGGCGACGAGGACGCGGTTGTCCGGGAGGACGACGGAGGTGGAGTGGTACATCCTCGGGATGGTGGTCGGGTTCAGCTCTTTGAAGAGGTGGGACTTGTCGACCGCCTTGTAGTCGAACAGGACCGGGGTCAGGTTCGGTTCCCGGGCGAACCCCCACCCGGAGGCGCCCCGGATCGCTCCGTTGATCATCAGGACCGCCCCCGTCGGGAGCAGCAGCTGTATGATGAGGAAAAACGGTTAAACCACGATTTAAGCACGACTATATATATATAAGTCTGGTTTTTAGATATTCATTGATTGATCAGGTCCACAGATTCTGAAAAGGTCGCCGTGCAACTGGATTCATTTGTCTGCTAGGCCGTCGACTTATGGACTTGTCATCTTTTGGATTCGTTTGACTCTATAGCTCGTAACAACAATTAGTGATATGAAATCTATCATATTGACACATGGAAATTATTTGTGAAGTTTTGAAAAGTTTAGGTACCATAATGAAAGGTAGAAAATACAAAAGTATTAAAAATAATTTAACCACCAAAATTCCTAGACTTTTTTTTTTAAAAAAAAATACAGTTTAAATACTAAATTGTAAGGGAAAAAAAATAAGTTTTGGATTTCAAATTCTAATTTTTTTAAAAAAATATGTTTATTGATGTGAGCCGACCCATCAGCTCGGCCCAGTCTTTACCTGTACAGGTCAAACAACTGGGGCCAAACGAGAACAGAGCCAAGACGGGTCAAGTTGGGTATGACACAGTTTCACCTCCTAGATTCAATCATATTTTAATCCTGTCACTGATTATCCGGTACGACTTTCTGTACGATTCTACGCAATCTTAAGTAAAAAAAAAAGGTTATAGTTTGGGAGAGAAAATTACCATATCACCCATGATCCTAGCAGTAGGCATGAGCTCCCTCCTCCAATTGGGCCTGGGCTTGGTAATCTGCAACCTTCCGCAATCCTGAAGGGCCTCATAGAACATATCCTTGGAAGCCAGCGTGTACGAATCAATATGGGCCGACCCACCACAAACCAGCACCTCAGCGTCCACAACGGCATTGGGCTCGGGGGACTTCACCTCAAGCGGCAGCAGCACCGCCATCCCGCTGGCCGGGTAATTACGGTGCCCGCCGGGGAGCACGGGGAACTCCTTCACCACCGTGTTGGTGTCCGGATTCAGGAGCACCGAGCGGTTGTTGGCGAAGACGAAGACGTTCTTGTCCGGGGAGAGGAAGACGAAAGGGTAGAGGTTGTTCTCGTCCGGGTCGGTGGTCTGCTTGAGGAAGTCGAAGAAGAAAGGCTTGGCGTTGGACTTGCCTTCCTGCGGGATGTACTCGAAGCTCGGGGCGGCTCGGCCGCCGATGACGATCATCCTGCCGTCGGCGAGCTGGGCCTGGGTGGAGTACCACCGCGGGGCGGAGAGGGCGCTCGGGTACTCGCGCCAATTGCACGTGGGGCACATGTCGAGGTACCGGACCGTGTTGGCGCCGCCTTGGAACCCGCCGGTGCTGATCAGGTTGCCGTCGACGAGAAGGCCTCCCGACGAGCACCACGTGTCCGTTTTCAGCTGGTCAAAAAAAGGGAAATATATATAGTATTAGTTTGATCATAATAAACGTTCCAATTTGTTGATGAATTAATTTACCCTAAATAGAAAAAGGGGAATATTTTCCAGTTAATGTAAGAATCATATCAGATCAAGAAATCGGATCAGTAGAACTATCAAACTCGTCATAATTAAGGGTGGATCCATTTTTTTCAGATGTGATGGACATTTTTTGGATGAACGAGTCGCTCTGATTTGACTGGTCCACTCACTCGTTTTTTTTTTTAAATGCAAGGGGAAAAAAAGAGACTATAATATGAACCGCGCGACCATCCAACTCTAATAATTACTATAATTTTTTTCCTTCTCCTCCATCTTCCTGATTTTCTTTATCGCGGTTTTGTGAGCCAACTATAACGATTCGTTAGAACTTTTGGTGATCAATGATATATGGTTAGAGTGACAAATTCAGTATGTAATATCCTCTAATTCTATAGGATATGACCAATTATAACTCGACGATTCTGTAACGATGTAGCCGCGCGGATTGAATCAGAAACCACTAACTTTGTTGGTGTATACACGTTACCTCGAGGGGAAATAGCTTAGCGGTGTTGATATCCATGAGAACGGAATGCGCCCAGCAATCCTTCTCGCCGGTGGCCTCGTTGAGGATCCGGCACTGGCCGTTGGGGAGGAGGATCTTGGAGATCCGCCAGATCGTGGCGTCGTACATCAGAACCTTGTCGACGTTGGGGATGAGGATCATGTGCATCGCCGACACGCCGGAGTTGTCGGTGAAGAGCTCCCACTTCCCCTTCCACTCGTCGACGGGGAGCGGCGGCCGGGCCTCCTCCTCCTCCTTGTGCAGCGTCCCCGTGGACTTCTCGACGAAGTCGGACAGGTCGGAGCTGACGAACTCCGGCGTGCCGATGTCGTTGGGGAGCTGCTTCTTGAAGTCGTCCGGGTTGCCGAACGTGTCGCCGAACTTCTCTTTCGGGCCCAGCTCCTCGAAGAGGCTGGCCGGCGGGTCGGCGGACCCGTCGGGGGACGGGGCGGGCTGGGAGGAGACGGCGGTGGCGAGGAGGAGGAGGAGGAGACATAGCGACGGTGGCTTCATGTTTGTTTTGATTTTTTTTTGTGACGGTGGATGTTTAACGGTGAAAGGTGTTGTTGTGTGACTGGAGAGGAATGGGATTTTGGTTTTATATATAGTAGTGGGAGTGTACCAAAAATAGAGAGTGAAAGTAAAAAAAAAAAAAAAATTATTTACTACTGGTACTTGTTTTTTTGGTCATACTGAGTGGCTGTGGAATTTTCCTTTTGTAAAAAATAATTAATTAATATTATTCAGCCGAGTTTTACTGGATCCGCAATTTTTGCGTCGGGAGAGTGAGATGCGAACGGTGAATTGACTTGTTAGCTTGAAGCTCGGATGTTTAGGAAGGATTCAAATATCAATTTGCATTTAATCGTATTGCTCATTTTCTACCATTTCGTCACTTTTATAGAAACAATAATGTCGTTAAGAAATGTGAAGGATGAAAACACGATCGTATTTGAGAAGATTTCGATTACCATAATCTTCTTGATTTAGGATTTCATATCATTGATGTTTACTATAGTTTTTTCAATCCACCATTTCTGTCACTACATGAATGTTTATTTTTGCGACCAAAAGAAATAGCTAACGGCCTACGAAGAGAGAAATGTTCACAAATATTTCTCTATTGTGACGGGGAAATGTCACAAAGGCTGAAGCATTGGTGACTAAAACATACGTGAAAACTCGTCCGGATCGTTTCCCGGATTCGGGTTCGTATTGGTCTCAATATGAACTCGAGGGCAAACCAGTTCGTGCGTCCAGCTTTAGTGACAATTTTAGATTGTCATAAAATTATGGCGACCAGTTTTTTGGTCACTAATGCCAACCATCATTGATGTAACCATATGTGGTTACGAAAGTATGTACTATGTACTATGTAGCAACGCAAAATTTAACTATTTCCAACATCTGCATTGGTCACAAAAAGTCGTTTTCGTTACGTGCAAAGAGAGACGATCGGTAGGGCACAAAACGACCGAAAAAGGGAACCACTGAACAATCTCACGATGCGTTTGGTGATGTTCATTTCGGGTGACTAGCAGAACAACAAGCAACAAGGCTTCAGAATGGAATTTTACAATACACTCAGGAGATGTGTCATGAACTTCTCAATGAATCCTCGTTGTACTCGAACCAAATCACGAAATGAAAGCCAAAATCGACGATTCTCGACTGCCTTTGCAGCTGCTGCTGCTACAGAATCTATCTATCGCAAGGCTTTTATTGCTACCGCTGTTCTTAGTGGAACTACCTTAATTACCTTATCTACAAAATGGGCATTCTTGGGGTCCTTTCATCTCAATGTTCTGTCATAGGCAGCATTGGTCTTGTGACACATGGTCCTCTGAACTGGTGTCGATGAATTAGATAACATCGATTTGCATCCCAAGCTCACTCTAATTCCTTAATGAAATCAGTATTATCCACAAACACCTGCAAATAAGGAACCACGAGATAGCAGTCTTAATACGGGAGCTGGATCTCAAGAAGCATAGTGAACTTTCAACTCGTCGAAACCACGTCAACACTATTTATGGTTCGCTGTTGCTGATTAAACCCTCTAGCTTAGTTTGGTTGATAATTGACCACATCCAGTATTTGAGAGTAAAAGATCAAGGTTCAGATAGCATACCGTCTTCCAACCATCAGGATCCAAGCAGGCAGTGATCTTGGTATTGATACCAGGCAAAGGTCCTGGTTCCCGAGTTATCTTCCCACCAAAGAGTTTAACTGCTTCTGCAGTCTTGTAAACATCATCCGTGCCTATAGCAATCTGTTATGGTAGAAGAAGATAAGCTCCCAGTCGCCCAATTAAAAGAGCTACTATCAAAACCAACTCCTGACAGACTTGTTAAGAATCAACATAGATAAAACAAGCTGTAGTGAAACAAGACATCACCTGAGCATAAGCATTTCCCTTCTCATATTCAGTGACTCCATAATTGTACGTCAACTCTAGCACTGTACTTTTATCTTCAGGTCCATAACCCATCATTGCGATAGTATACTGGTAACAGCAACGTACGACAAGTCAGCTTGCAGAATATTTTTAGAGGAGAACTGTAGTTCTTATTTACAATATCAAGAAGTAGTGTATACACAAATACACGACCCCAGTTACCCAGTCCGGCACATTACCAGTAGCTGCTAACTAGGCAATCAAGATGTCCTTAAATAGGAGACCTATCAAGGGCCCTCCTGGAAGACATCCAGATTCATGACAAAATGCACATTTACATAACTAGAACTGATGCACTGCAATGGCTTACTAAGTACTCACAAAAAAAGACGAATGCTATCAACATAAGAATTGCAGAAAGAAATGGCTCACAAGCTACTATGTGCCAGCATGCACAGATTATGCTATTTCTTCTTTTACATACATACTTCTCAACTTAGGCGAACAGGTCACACTAGCCCATTGTCTACCACTGATGAGAACAGGGGCTCCAATAATTGCATTTAAATCCCAGAAACACAGAAGGCTTCCTGCTTGGGTAAAATACCTGTCACTCATCAACCCTCCTCCATAACTAAGGTTCTGAACCATGATCATTATAGAAAGAACTTCACTACCTATTGCAGAGAGGACTTGACAAGTTGACAAGTGCCCTGTCCCTCAAATACATGGCGAGCACAGAGATAGCAAAAAGTTCTTTACGCATTCCTATCACAAAAGTCAGACAGGACGAAAGCTTTATTTTGATGGATTTCTCAACACTGTGAAGCTAGGTTATGAGGCGTGGAAAGTTTTATTTTGTTGCATATGTTGATGTTGATCAAAGTGCTGTTTAATAGAGGTAGAAACCCCTGCTTATTCAGTTAACTGCCCTGTTTACCTTGTATTCTGGATTATCACGTTTACGGAGAAGCTCCATGCCAAAAGCCTGTATACGAAGGATATTATCAACATTGAGCCACTTGACTAACAAGACCCAGATGCAAATTTGATACAACATTACTTGAAAGCATAAGAACACAAGCTAAGGGATGGTCCAGCTAAGGCAATTCTCACCTTTTCATAGAAATTTATGGAACGATCTAGATCACCAACGCGAAGCATCACCTGACAAAGAGGCTCTGGGGTAGGCCCTCTTTCCAAGAGTTCAAACTTATAACCATCAGGATCTTCGATAAATGCAATCACTGTACTGCCACCTTTCACGGGGCCTGGCTCCCTAGTTACTTTACCACCCTTAGCCTTTATGAGTTCCACAGTCTTGGCAACCTAGCCAAAGCAGAATATGCATGAGCATTCAACCACAAAAAGCCCAAAATTTATCTAAGAAATGCTGGACCGTAGTCTTAGGGCATTGAAATTTGTGGGCAGTGACGCTGAATGAAAGCATTTCAGAACCTAATGAAAGCTTACATCCTCTACAGCAATGCCAAAATGTCCAAATCCAGCCCCGATGTCATAATTTTCAATACCATAATCTGATAACATTAAACAAACAGCATGAACATCCATTATAAATTGCCAACAAAAGTCATCATTCAGGATCGTGGAGGTTAAATGAGTGAGAAATAATAACGCTTACTGTATGTAAGCTCTATGACAAATTGAGAGTCTTCGGGTCCATATCCCAGAAATGCATTTGTGTATCTCTCCTCTGGAATGTCCCGCTTTCTAAGCAGCTTCATCCCCAAACACTCTGTGTAGAATCTGCAGTGAGCAAATAGTGTGTTTTGATAGAAAGTCAGTCATCATGAATACATTGCCAAACATAGAGCCTAAAATGATCTTGAAAGGATTGAGTTTCAAAAATATACTTTATGGTCCTATCCAAATCCCCAACACGATAAACAACATGTAGCATTCGACGCTTGTCCTGTTTAACCCACTCAAGTACATTTTCTGGGGTAGCAGTTGTGCTTGCTTGTGCCATATTGCCAGCTGCCGCAACCCTGATGCTGGTGCATTCTTGTCTCCATGGTTTAGAGGGTTTCAATCCAAATAGCTCTGACTGTCGAATAGCTGCATCATGTATAACAGTTTCTAAGTCTGTGAATCTGTGTCATGCCATCATAGAACGAGTTACAGAAGCCTAGTATGAGATACTGATTTATTAAGACTGCATCATTCAACTTGACATGCCATTTATGCAACAAAATGAGAAAAGTGGTATCATAATGAAACATAAAGCCTCTGAAGAAAACATAAAAAGGTCAAACTGGTTGACCCACTCCATAGAGCTCCAGTTCCAACTTCAGTATCATAAAAACTAAAACCATTCCGGCAAACGTTAAGAACATTTTTTACAACCGATGGCATGGGAGAAAGACCAAGCACGACTATATTCATCAATCTCTTCCACCAGTTTGCTCCTAAAACTACGCAGTAAACATACTACATACATACATTTGCATCTCTAGAAGCCCTTCACCAACACACAGATTTAACAACAATTCTTCCTCACATTTCCACAGTACAAATTCGAAACCATTTCACCTCAAGCTAAAAAAATCTCCCCGGAGACGAGTCAAACTTCCTATTTCCACCTAATTCACCATTATTTGACACCCGATTTATTCGATTTCACACAATTCAAGCTGGGGAGATATGGAAAGCAAAGGAATCCGAAAGTGATGGGGGCAAGGAGTCAGAGCTGGGTTACCGCTGGAGAGGGAAGGCAATCGCTTGGAAGAAGGGGAGGCGAAGGAACTAAGAGAAGCGGCAGCGGCGGTGGAGGAGCGGGAAGCGGCGGTGCTGTTGCAGAGTCTGAAAGAGGAAGAGAAGGACGGGCGGATTGAGGCGGCCATGGGAATAATCCGCACCATGTAGAAGTCTTCGGAGAGAGGGGAAATCCAGAAAACCTTTCCGCAGAGTTTTCTCTCTTGGTTCTGTGGTGGTGATGCTGTTGCTGAGGTTTCTCCCTTTCCTTCCCTGTCCCTGTGTCGTTTTTCTCTGCAGGGAGAGAGATGAGACGGAGGAGGAGAAGATTGTGATAAGTTTTTTTTTGGTAAATACCACTATAATACCCAAAATTTACATAAGTGTCATCTAACACCTAAGTATCGTTTCCAATTGTATTACTAGCTCGGGTCCTCACGGACTAGCACG